TTTTTTTTGCTCAAGCCACGTGGCAACTGATAGGTGGGGTGGGTGGGGGAGAGGACCAGGGAGGAAATCCTGCTCTGATACCAGTGTGACGGACCCGCCGGGATGGCGGTCCGTTAGGATCAAGACGAAGGGATGAGGATGGGGGAGATGGAGATGGAGCTGGAAGGGACAGCGCAGCTCCAACGCAGACTCAACACGCACGTACTCCAATCTGTGCAAATGAAGAATGCGCCACAAAACAGACTATAGATGGGGTATACCCCCAGCGGACTGACTGGACTGGACTGGACTGGACTGGTACCGACAGTGGTACCGGGCAGGACTGGACTGGACTGAATAACCGCACGACCTGTGGGGCCAGGCCACGGCCTGGTCCCACAGGCCGGACTGGCAAATAGCCAAATAAGCCCTAGTTGTGGGCCAGGGCAGATGAAGGTCCGCTGCACATATGAAATACATCTCACATGGTGCAATGTGTCGGCGACACTCGTTCCGAGTCGCACAGGGCCGTACACCGATGGTATGCAGCCTACACTGCTAACTAACATAGCTGAAAATAAAACCCTAACAAACATCTACGTAAAACGACAAGTCAGAATGAAGTCCCACCTCTAACAAAAACCCAATAACTAAAAAACAATATGAAAACGACGTACATAAACCGAAAAACGAAACAAACAAACACTGTCGACGACACTACCCAGTCTACCTTCATGCTGAAGTTCATGAACTGGTCCGAAGTCCCTAAAACCTAACTATATGTACATCATCCTAAACAATATACAACAATGTCAGAACACTAAGCCCAAACAACATAAAGGCGTCGTGGAAGCACTGAAAGGGGAACGAAACTGTCAATACCGTCGACTTCCCTTCCCCTTACCACTGCCTCTCTGCCTCGCCCCACTCGTGTTGCGTGTCGACGAAACACTCCCTCGCCCCGGCGCTGTCGCAACGGATGACCCTCGCCTCCTCCGACTCCTCGTCTCCCGCCGCCCTGGAGGGGACGGGTCGTCTACGTCATCATGTCCTCTACGAGAGCCACGTCGTCTACGAGAATGTGGTGAAGGGGAGGGCTCGTCGTCGTCGTCGTGGTAGCTGTCATCATCCCCGTTATCGCTCTCCTCCTCCGCACGCTCCTCGTCGTCCCTGTACTCGTCACCCTCCTGTGGGGCCTCCTCACATGCAGGCTCCGTCTCGGGATCGTCCTCCACCACGGTCACATGGGCAGCCCCCGTCCTCACCCGAACAAGCCTAGCACTCACATGAGTCACCTCTGCGACTGTCTTCTCACGACGAGAACCGCGCGGCATCTCCAACCCCTCGGCTCCAGAAGACTCCTCCAACGAGGCATCCCCCGTGGTAGGCATCATCTGAGGCATGGAACTCGTACGAGCGACTCCGCTCCTGCGCGAAGTCTGCTCACGCACACCACGTGCTGCGGCTGCCAAAGCGGCCTGCAAGGTACATCCGGCCTGTCCAACCCCGCGAACATCTCGCAGCTGAGATACTGCCGCCATGACCTCCCTCGGCGCACCCCTCCCGGAGTCAGCCCCACCCAAACCTGGCTGTTGTCGTGCAGTGTGCACTGTGACCCGACGTATGGAGTCCAGGTCGATATCCGTCCTCCCGAATAGCGACGTGTCAAGAGGGAGGCTCCATACGGCCGTCATGTCACGAACCCTGGGTCTGGTGGGCGTGGATGGTGAACGGGGGGCCCAACCGACTGGTGTCGAGGGGGAATCGCTGTGACGTGATCTCGAAGGAGGCGAGTTGTATCCTGAGGAGCTCGCCGCCCAGTAACCGGTGTATGAAGAACTGCCTCAGATCCTAAATCCACAACTATGACCGGTGGTACCTGAACAAATGCCTCCTCCCCAGGACCTGACCCCTGCACACACAGTCGAACTGGCCGCATCGTCGTCGTCATCTGCAAGCCCGTGAACGGTACCAACGAGCTGCTACCTCCGGGGATATCCGCAGGGGGTGCATCCTCACGCTCCTCCTGTGGCTGCTCTACTACCTCCTCGCACCCCTATTGAAGCGTGTCTGTCTCTCTCCCGGAGCGTCCTGCAAATGCCTGGTCGATCTCCTCTGTGGTGTACCCAGCGGCCGCTAGGGCACGCGCCACATCCTCTCTCTCTACGTGACCAGGGGTGGGCGGATCCCCCAAAGACATGTCCATGAAATCCCCCATCCCCAGCCCTGACGCCCCCCTCTGTCCTGATGGCGATGCCCCCAGTGCCCTCCTCGTGCCCGGGGTCAAACCCGCTAGCGCGGGACCCATCTCGTCATCGACAAAACGCTGGATGATCGGGTCAAGGTCACCGCCTCCCTCTCCTCTACCACGGGCGACGTCCCCCCCTACCACACCCTCCTCTCCCCCAACCAACGCAGCAGCATCTGCCCTCACCACATCCTCCTCCATCTCAACTTGGGCATCACCATCATCTATCCCTGCCACGCTCTCCTCTACCCCTGCCACAGCCTCCTCTCCATCATCGTCCCTCGCCATGGCCTCCTCTCCCTCATCGTCACCATCATCAACCCTCGCCATGGCCTCCTCTCTCTCGACGTGCGCACCATCATCTACCGCCACCACGCCCCCCACTACTCCAGCTACCTCCTCCTCCATACCCCGAATACCCTCAACTCCGGCCGCTCCGGCGGCTCCGTGCTCCTCCGCTCGTCTCTCCCTCTCCTCCACCGGTGGTGCCCCGCTATAAACACCCATCTCCCCCAAGTCGCTCGATGCACGCGGGTCCAAAAGGAGCTGACGGGCTACGCTAAACAGTGATCCATGCCCGCGGATGTGCAACGAGGATCCCAAGTCCTCCCTCCCAACCGGTGCAGGTGAGCGCTCGTCACGCCGAACGGGAGCGGGCGGAGCGGATGCTGGGAATCATGGGATAGAATGACGCGAAAGAGGTGACGGGGACGAGGGTCCGGACTGCATAGTGGGAATACTCGTCTGCTCTCGCGTGGTCGTGGGAGCAGGCATCTGCTCCTCCGCGGTCGACAAAATAGTCGTCCGCTCCCACGTTGTCGTGGCAGGACCCGGCTCCTCACTCGCAGTCATGGGAGCAGGCGTCTCCTCCCGCAAGGTCGTGCGAGGACGCGTATCCTCCCGCGCGGCAGTGGGTGATCTCTCCTCCGTGCCCCTGAAAGATCCCCAAAACTCCTCGCCCCCCATCATATCCATGTCTCGCTGGTCTGCCGCCCTCCGCGCAGTGTGCGTCCTCTCGTCACGCACGTCGCCTCCCTCGTGCAACTCATCAATCTCACGCGGGATGGGAAGCATCGGATCGTCCGCTGCTTCCGACTCCCTCTCGTCCGCAGAGTCATCGTCCCTGGGGTATGGGCGGAAGATAGTCGCACGAGCACCGAAAACAGACTCAACAAGGGGCGGCGCAGAAGACCCAATGGGATCGCGCAATGAGGGCAGCCTGCTCCTCGATCTCCTCCTCCGTCATCCCACTCCTCGTCCCCGAGCGCACAGGCTCCACGTCCAATCCCGCCTGAGCGTCAAGCATGCCCTCGTCTCGCTGCCAAGGGAGGACGTATCCACAACCTGCACGTCTATACTCCATCAACCGCACATTTGCGGTGATCTCAACAAGATGAACGACCTTCTCGAAGGCCAACTGATTACGCTTCTTCGTATGGATGCCCTCGTGGACCGCCCAGTTTCTCTCCGCTGGAGAGGCACAGGACCACATGTGCATCAAACGAAGAGCGCAATGTTGTAAATCGGGCGCGTCTCCCCCGTACTGAGACCACCACGACGCACACTCCAACGTCTCGCAGTCTCCGATGGAACTACGAGGCTGAGCGCACCCCTCTGCCCCGCCCCAAAACCCATACCTACCCTGCTGCATGTGAAAGTCCTCGAACTGTCGACATACCTCAAGGTAACGACCACCCAACTCGTCGTGGCGCGTCTGAGACAATAGATACATCTTGGCTTGTCGAACAAGCCAAGTGTGGTACCGGTCGAGCTGCGCGGAGAAGTACTGAACATTCCGGCGACGGGGGTTCAGTAAGAACGCGGCGCAGTGTGCAGGCTCCATCATGTGCTGTATACGGGCCTGCACACGCCTSATGATACGGTCMGAAAAGGACTGGMCAAGRGGAATGCAARYGTCCCGCACAAGGCGTGCAAGATCCCGRGTCCACTCTACAACGAGGGACATGAACTGCCCGCCACGGTCCATCCGCCTCAGCAAGTCCATGACAGGATCCATGACGTGCTTGATGGCACGCATCCTCTCCCACCAAGGGGACCACCGGATCTGTCGGCGCACCCAACGCGCCATGTCGCGAACGTTGGGGGACCACGGGATCCTAGCCCAAGCCCGACCGTCCTCCGCTGTCATCATGCCCTACAAATGATCCTGCAGAGCGAGCAGTCTCTCCAACATGGAGTACACGGACGCAAAGCGCGTCTCGCATGAAAGCACGAGGCCCAACGCCGCGCTCCGCTTCCGAAAGAAGCTGAGAGCGGCCTGGTGGGTTTTGAAAAACACCACCAGAGCTCGGGCACGCGTGATCGTGTCCACGAAAGAGGTGCAGATCGTGCCAATGTCTGACAACAACTTGTAGCAGACATGGACGCAACACGAGAGCCAAGTGATCCTCCTCAGCTCAGGGGGCATAGATGGCGAGGCCAAAGCCCTCGCAGCCCCCACGTATGCACAGGCGGAGTCAGTGCATATAGCATTGACCCGCTGTAGGCCACCGAATCTGAAATCATGAAAGATGGCGACCCATCTCTGTAGGACGTGCACCGCATCGTCCGGCTCCCCCTCTCGGTTGATCGTCGTGTACATGACGACCCCCCGAGACCCAGCTGCGAGGAAGTTCACGATCGGTCGCCCATCTCGTGACTTCCTCCCGTCAGAGAGGAGGGTGGCGCCACTCACCCATAATGGCTGCCTAACCTCCTCCAACTCCTCCGCCAACTGCTCGCGGTGGATCTCCACAGTTCGCATGTCTGCAATCTCGTTGTGGGATGGAAGCACGGGAAGAGGTGCTCCACCAGGTTGCCGAAGAGCAACCTGCTGGAGGTCTCCGTACGGCGTATTGCGGAAGGCATTGAAGGCAATCCCGCTGGAATACACCCAGCGAAAGAATGCCTTCCTCCACTCACCAATCCACTCGCCACCATACGTGTCCGTCATTTTCTGTTGCCGCAGCCTCTTCCCTGCACTGGTGCCAGAAAGTTGTGCACCCCCCTCCTTCCTCTTCGAAGAAGCCGGCGTGCTTGCTCTATCAGGAACAGCATTCTTCGAAGAACTCGGCGTGCATGTCGTCTCAGGCGGGACGGCCTTCTTCCCGCACTTCCGCTCCCACTACACCGCCCTCAGATGAGGCATCGGATCGGACTACGGCACGCCCCCCTCTCCCCTCGGTGTCCGCTCCCCCTCAGCCACGCCAACCCCTAGGTCAACGTCTGCCTCGTCCTCCTCCGCGGCACCCGCACCCTCCCCATATCTCGCAATACCTCCCTCCGCATAATGCTCGGTATCCTCTCCCTCGCCCACGCCCTGTGCCGGACGCTCCGCCTCGCCACCCATCGCACCCGACCGTGGGACATCGAAACCACGCTCGTGTGCGAACCGCCGCACCCTCTCTACCTGATCAGCCTCGAAGCGGTGTGTGCATTTCTGAGCAATCTGGTACAATGCATCATCGGACACCTTCTTGCAATAATTCTGCTGGGTGAAGTGTTTCGTTGCGTAGAATTGGGTTCCCTGAAACACCTTATTGCAGAAGGTGCACCGTAGCATATTAACCCCCCTGTTGTCGACCTTCTGGCCGACAACAATGTAACGGTAAACAGCAGATTTGCGCCTATAATCCTGCCGCACATGTTCGGGCGCAGGCTCATGTTCGCGCGTCTGTTTTCGCGGCATTGTGAACCCCCCTTAAAGCCGCGCCCTTTGAACTCCCGTTGAAACCCCGTTGAACTGTGCTCCCGTTGAAACCCCGTTGAAACCCCGTTGAAACCCCGTTGAAACCAGTTGAAACCCCGTTGAAACCCCGTCGACACCCCTTCAACACCCCGTTGAACCCTCATCCTGCTGGTTCGGTGGGGGACCGCCGGCGCCGCTGATCGGTAGGGGATGTCGCCTGCACCGACACAAAATAAAACAATCAATCAATCAAACAATCAATCAAGCAATCAAGCAAATGGCCAAACCATCAATCAATCAAACCATCAAAGTTGATCAAACCAACAATCAATCCATCAATCAATTGATTGATTGATTGACTCACTGTTTTCATCAATCAATCAATCAATCAATCAATCAATCAATCAATCAATAGATCAATCAATCAATCAATCAATCATTAGATCAATCAATCAATCAATCAATCAATCATTAGATCAATCAATCAATCAATCAATCAATCAAGATTTTGATTGATTGATTGATTGATTTTGTATTTTTTTTATTTATTTATTTTTTTTTCTTTTTATTTCTCATG